TTATCTCACTCCAGATGATTTCTTTCTAGATCCATCCATTTGCCTGCAAATTTCATGATGACATTTTTTTTTGAGCTGTGTATTATTCTCTTTTGCACATATACTACATTTTCTTTATCCATTTTTCTGTTGAAGTAAATATAGGTTGTTTCCAGGTTCTGGTTATTATGACTAGAGCAGCAATGAACATGGTTGAACAAGTGTCCATGTGTTGGGATGGGACATCCATTGGGTATATACCTAAGAGTAGTATAATTGGATCTTGAGGTAGATCAATTCCCAATTTTCTGAGGAGCCACCATATTGATTAGCATACTGTCTGTACAAATTTGCACTCCCATCAGCAGTAGAGGAGTGTTCTTCTTCTTCCACATTCTCCCCAGCATGAGCTGTCACTTGTGTTTTTTAACGTAGCCATTCTGATAGATGTCGGATGGAATCTCACAGTAGTTTTGATTTGCATTTCCCTGATGGCTAAGGTTGTTGAACATTTCTTTAAGTGTTTCTTGTCCACTTGATATTTCTCTGTTGGGAATTCTCTGTTTAGGTCTGTACCTCATTGTTTAATCAAATTGTGTTGTTTTTGTTATCTAGTTTCTTGAGAACTTTATATATTTTGGATATTAGCCCTCTATCAGATATAGAGTTGGTAAAAAAAATCTTTCCCCATTCTGTAGGCTGCCACTTTGTCCAATTGATGGTGTATTTATAAGGTCTTACAGAAGTCTTCCAGTTTCATGAGGTCCAATTTATTAATTGTTGCTTTTAGTACCTGCACTATTGGTGTTCTGTTCTGAAAGCTTTCTCCTCTGCAAGTGTGTTCAAGCCTGTCCCCCACTTTCTCTTCTATCAGGTTCAGTGTGTCTGGTTTTAAGTTGAGGTCTTGATCTTGAGTTTTGTACAGTGTCTTAAGTATGGTTCTATTTGCATTCATCTATAAGCAGACATCCAGATTGACCAGCATCATTTGATGAAGATCCTGTCTTTCCCCGTGTGTATTTCTGGCTTCTTTATCAAAAATCAGGTGTCCATATGTGTGATTTATGTCTGGGTCTTCAGTTCAATTCCATTGATCCACATGTCTGTTTTTATGACAATGCTGTGCAGTTTTTTATATCTGTAACTCTGTAGTACAACCTGAGACAGGGAATGGTGGGATCTCCAACAGTTCTTTTATTGCTCAGGATTTTTTTTTTTTTTAGCTATCCTGGGGTTGGTTGTTGTTGTTCTTTCCTTCTTTCTCTCTTCCTTCCTTACTCTTTCTTTCTTTCTTTCTTTCTTTCTTTCTTTCTTTCTTTCTTTCTTTCTTTCTTTCTTTCTTTCTTTCTTTCTTTTGGTTTTTCTTGAGACATGCTTTCTCTGTTGTGTTTTCATTTTCATTTAGTTACAGGAAATTTTTATCTCTTTCTTGGTTTCTCCTTTGAACCATTCACCATTTAGTAATCAGTTGTCTAATCTCCATGAGTTTGTGTATTTACTGGAGGTCTTTATTTGCTGTCAATTTGAAGTTTTATTGATTGTGGTCAGGTGGGATAGAAAAGTGATTTCAACATTTTTGAACTTGTAAAGGTTTGTTTTGTGTCCTAGGAAGTATTCTATATTAGAAAAGTTTCCGTGCGCTACTGAGGAGAATGTGTAGTCTTTTGTGTCTAGATACATTATTCTGTAGATATTTGTTAAGTTCATTTGATATAGGATGTCAATTAATTCTGACATTTCCCTGTTTATTTTCTGTCCAGATGACCTGTCTATTGGAGAAAGTGGGGTATTTATGTACTGATGTTAGTATGTGTCTTTAATTCTAGTATCTTTTCTGTTTGTTTGTTTGTTTGTTTGTATTTTATAAAATTGGGCACCTCTGAGTTTGGTGTGTTTATGTTTAGAATAGTAATGTCTTTTTTGCTAACTGCTCTCCTGATTAGAATGAAATGTCTCTTTAGCTCTCCTGATTAGTTTTAAATTATACCTATTTGCCAGGTATTAGGATAGTGAAGGCTGCTTCCCTCTTGGTGCCATTTGAGTGGAGTACTTTTGTCCATCCATTTCCTCTAAGATAGTGCCTGTCTTTAAAGCTAAGATGTGTTTCTTGTAGGCACCAGATAGAAGGATTGTGTTTCTTCATTCATTCACTCAGTCTGTGTCTTTTGACTAGAAAATTTGGACAATTTAGACTTAAAGTTATTGAAATGTGTGTTAGTTATGGTCGTTGTGTTATTGATTTTTGATATTGTTGTACTGGGGGTATATTAGGTCTAGAGGTTGGAAATGACTTGGGTAGAATGAAGTCAGGTGGACAGAGGGGGCTGGGATGTTGTGTTCCCTGGTCCATGCTGGTAGTGTGTGGGTAGATATGTCTGAGTACAAAGGTAGGATAAGATGTGGAAGAGTCCTGTTGCTTGGCTCACAGGTAAGGAGTATACTGGGCCAAGCCTAGAGCTCTTCTGCAATGAGTACAAGGAAGGACAGACAAGGCGGGTGTACTGGTCGTGGGACCCAGGCTAAACCTTGTAGATTGTGGGAAAGGTGTGCATGAGGAAGTCATGGTTATTCACCAGGCGAGACTATGGAGGAGCATGTGGCAAGTCTGGGCATGGAGTGGAGTTGTGGAGGTGGAGCAAAGGGTCCTGTCGGTGGTACAGGTAGGACATGTCCTGGTGGATACCTAGAACTTGGCTGCAGTGCAGGAGGAGGTGGTGGGAATAGGCCAGGGCATGTATAAAAGACCCTGCTGAAGTATAGAGGTTTGCTAATACATGGCAAAGACGGCCAGGCTATGCCAGGGCTGTGGGACCCACATTAGATCTGGCAGGTTGTGGAAGAATAAGGTGGCAATAGGGGATACTCACCAGGCTATACCCTGGAGGAGGATGTGGGGAAATCTGGGTATGGAGTGGGGTGGTCAAGGCAGCTATGCCTTGACTTCTTATTGGCCCAAAGGATAATTGCTAGCCATCTTCTTACTGTACTGAAACATTATTTGTTATAAAGTGAGGCTTACACTGTTGTTATTATAGGAAGTTACCACCCAACTGGTCTGTCTTACAGCTACTTCCTAGCTGAATGACTGAAACAAAACTGTTAAGAGTTAAAAAAAAAACTGAATGGAACTCAATCCTTATCATGTTAAAGGTATTGTAAATATGTCAACATAAACATGGAGAAAATAGTACAATAAATACTCGTATATCCTTCCTCTAGATGCAAAACAATCAGGGTTTACCCTGTTCTCCTTATGACAGATTAAGCTGAGTGTAGTAATCAATATCTTTAATCTCATCACTTAGGAGGAAGGAGGATCAGGAATTTGAGGCAAGCATGAGCTAAATGGAACCTTGTCCCCAAAACAGACAAAAATGTTAGTTTAGATATTTTTGTGCCTTGAAATGAATTTCAAGTCAGATATTAGGATGGCTTTGGAAGGGGTTGGGGGCAGTTCAGTGGCTGAGCACTTACTCCGCATATGGTTCAATCGTAGAATTGAAAAAAAAAAGATGATATAAGAAAAGTGTGATCTTGTTTTATTGAGACACATCCCATCTCTTCTTGTGACCCATCCTCCACGAGTCATCTCTAATCAAAATCCCACAAACTCCTACCTCAAGGGCTGGGAAGGTGAGGAAGGACCTGTGCACTCTGCATCAGGCACAGAGAGATGGAGGCTGAAGAGGGTCTGCTGTGTGTGTGCTTTGGTAATTGCAACTCGCAGATAAAAAGTGTCCGCGCCATGCCCCACTTCCATCACATATGACAAGTGAATATAAGGCCCACACCACAGAGGAGACTAAATGGGACAGTGATGGGATTTCTCCCTACAGCTTGTGATCCACTTCACTCACTCCCAGGAGAGCCCACACCCACAGGTATGTATGTATCCAGCCAGACAATGCTCAGATCCTTTGCTGGTCCAGATCTCTCCCTCACTCTTATACTATGGTCTTAATTTTATTCTGGCATCTTCAAACTTGGATGCCTCATGGGCAACTCAAACTCTGAGGTCCAAAACTTGGATTTAACGTTCCCACTACTGCTAAGTGATCATGGAAGCTTATAGAATTTTTATCCAAATAAAATTCATGCCATAAAATTAATCATTAACAATTTTATTTACTTTTGTTTTGTGAAATGGGGTCTTCCAAAACCCAGGCTGGCCTCCAACTTTCTATATATCTGAGAATAACAGTAAGCACCTAATTCTCCTGCTTCCAACACCCGAGGTGCTGGATTATAGGCATGCTCCACAATGTCTGGATGCCATTAGCCATAATCCTGCCACATCTTTGCATTTCATTGGACAGCTCCAGGGATTGGTCTGACTGGGGTAGCAAGGGAATGAAAAATCACACACACACACACACACACACACACACACACACACACACACACACACACACACACACCTGGATTGCGTAGTTTATCTCTGATGGAGAAGCCTTAGCTCCCTGGAAGCTCGGAGTGTTTATTGTACACAGTTGGCAGGGAGCAGGTTATTACACACAGGCCTAGAGTCTCTCAGTCGGTTTTCCCTGTGTCCTGTAGAATGTCTGGCATTCTCCTCTGTGAGGCAGGAACCTGAAAGGCCATCTCGGCTTGGAAAGTTCAGTGGTCACCATCCTATGGGTCCTGCATGTCCAGTCGATACAACATTTTGTCACATAGTCCAGGCAAGAACAGTTTCTTGCCCAAATGGCTATTTTTGCCAAAAGAAGATAAATTCCATGTGAAGTGTCTTCAGTGCCCATCATCTTCCTTGAAGTGATTGGTGCTTCCAGGAGCAGACATGTCTTATTGGCCAGAAAAGTCTAAGTTTTAAAACATTTTAAATGCCATATTCTGTAGGTTTTAAGTGTTTGGAGATCACCTATGTAATTGAAATATATCTATGTGTGCCACTGGCCTGCCTAGCACAGAGTTGATCCCTGTGATAGGAAACCAAACTCCAATTGATAAAAGAGAACTTTATTGAGTTGTGGCTTCTGTTCCCGGACAATCCTGGACTCAGCTGTAGGGAAGATGCTGAGTCAGAGAGGGGTCTGGTTTGCTCTGGAGTTAGCTGCGTTTCATCATTTGCTTTATCCAGGATAAGAAATTTGACACTCTGGTGAAGACACTTGGTGCTGAACCATCCCCATGTCCATAGGCGACGATGCCGGCAAACACTTTGTTACAGAGGAGAGGCCCTCCAGAATCCCCCTGTGAATGGAGAGGGGGCACAGGGGACTGAGCTGTTGTTCACCCTGGTCCCAAACTCCCTCTCAGTGAAGTGTGGCTTGTGTGCTCTGCTTGTGGGAGATCAGAGGGCAGGCCTGGGTGTCCCAGGGCTTCCTGCTCTGACTAGGTACAGGGTTACTGCTTCACCTCCCTCCTGAGCCCAGCCTCTGCCCTTTCTCCAGGTCTGTGATCCACTCTCTATGAAGGTGTGTGGGACCCTCATCTCCAGGCCATTTTTTAAGAACATGGGGACAGGTGAGTGGGCCTGATGTGAACATGGAGGACCAGAACACTGACAAAAGTGAGTGGGTGTCTGCTCTGTGGAGACACCTGCTTGTATTAATGACACAGACAGGGACACATCTTTCTAAAGCCTGAGCCTGGATCTCAGGAGGACTGTGCAAATCCTGCTTTATACCAGCTGCCTTCACTGAGGTTCCTTGTCAGCTCAGGAGGCCCTAGTTAGTTATTGGTTACTGCTGTTCTCAAGGATTCCCCTTGATGTTGGGTCTCTAGATTCCAGATAGCTTTACCCATCCCACAGATCCCAGAGAGTATGAAAATCCTACTTACCATGAAGGAAGCTCGCTTGATCTTTGGGTCCCCCACACATATCTGATTGGCTTTGTGGTAAAAACGTGGATAGTGGGACACACACTCCTGATCCTTCTGTACTGTCAGCTCCACCTCTTGTAGTATGTTTGATAATTCATCCCCCAGGCCTATCCTTCCCCATCCAGCCACAGAGCACACCTCCTCTGGCTTCACACGGACCCGGCGCCTGGGCAGGTTGAGGGGCCTCACAGCTTTAGTCCTCTTGGCCTTCTTCTCCAGCTGTTGGGGAAGAGGCAGGAGAGACCAGCTCAGCCAGGAGCCTGCTGGCCTGGGACACCTTGAAAGCCAGGATGGCAGGGAGGGAAGGGATGGGATGAGAATGGGAAGGGTGATCCCTCACCAAGATGAGAGTAGCAGGTC